TTGCAAGTCATAATTTAAGCAAAATATCAGACTTTGTAATCAGATGTACAGAAATGACGTGTAATTATACACTGTTTTTGAACGTTCAAACTAAGGTTCTCATGTTTTATGAGGAAATTAGCTTTGACTTTGTAACACGGTACGATATATAGTAAAATATACACGTCGTGGATGTAGGTTTATATGCGTACGTTAAGATGTGCGTGAACTGTAACAGTAGAAAATAACCTTGACATTTAAATTTGTGTGTGTTCAAAAATATTAGTACTGGCTAGACATTTATTTGTCGGATTCACAAATAATCATCAGCGTAAATTTATCTGATTATGTGAACAGCTAAAGCGACGTAGCGGCGCGCTTAATATTGATCTATCCGATATACATTACGAGCGTAACACGCATTACTTATACGAAATGCAAACGCAATATACGAGTATGTATGCTGCAAGTGTTCGCTTTTTACTGTCGTATTTTTGTTATTGGATTCTATGGTTGGTCTTTATCTACATTTCTAATAAACACAAGAGTATTTAAAGCATCAAGGTGTGTTTTGGAGCAATGGATTGGCGAACAGGCAGAAAAGCAATTTCAAAGAATTTGACTTTGTTTCAGTGAAAACTTTAAGTATACATGAAGGTACGTATTATTATTTATTTATTTTGGAAACTCAATTTTTAACTGAAGGAATCAAACTAAATTAAATAATCATGTTAGAAATGACTACTGTTCAATTCCGAACGTTTAATTGTACTTAGTGTATGTTACTATGACAATCAACCAATTCGAGAAAAACAGTCGACAATGACTAAATGCATGGTAACAGCCAAATCGCTGTTTAATTGAAATAAAAAAAGAGAAACAGAGAACTCTAAGACAGAGAGAGAAACACGAGCGATGTAGTCGAACAGACATTACGGCAACCAAGTTTGTTTCACCTCAATCAATACAGTATTACCCACGATGCACTATTCCCATAAGCGTGGGTATGTGGAAGTTCATAGCCAAGCGTACTGAGGTCAAGAACA